ACACCCCCAATTCATCAGGGTCAGGCCACACCCCAGGGACCCCACATACCCCAACTCCTCAGGGTCAGACCATGCCCCCGGGACACACACCCCTCCAAGGCGGGCAGGGCGGCCAGACTTACCGCAGGAAGCGCGAAGAACGAGACCCCGATGAGCGTGAAGGTGGCCGCCAGGAGCCGGCCGTTCCAGGTCTGGGGGTACTTGTCCCCGTAGCCAATGGTGGTTAGCGTGATCTGCGGGACCGTGGGCTCCAGTCACGGAAGGGCAGGCAGGACGCCCGCCAGCAGCTCAGGGCTTAGGCTGGGACAGATTTGGGGCCACCCCCATGCCACCACCCACACGGAGCTGGGCGAGGCCAGGGTCGACGCGGGCTGCAGTTGGTCCCTGGAGCCCTCTCCAAACTCCCCACACCTCTCCCCTGTAGGCCAGAAGCGCAGTCCAGCTGAGGGCTCTGTTGCCTCCTCACATCGAGAGCCAGAGGGCAAGTGACGTGACTCCCCTGAGGGCTCAGGGAGCACAGTGGCCCCACCCGGCTGCAGGGCCCAGCTGGGAAGCGGGAGTGGCGCGAGAGGGACCCAGAGAAATGGGCGGGGTGAGCAGGGGGCTCGAGGGGCGTATAGGGGTCTCCAGGGGTGAGCAGGGGCTTCAAGGGGCACGGGGGGGTCTTGCAGGGGGCTCAGCAAGCCTGACCTGAACTGAGGCCAGAGGAGAAGAGGTGGGCGGGAGGAGGCCAGGAGGAGAGGCGGGGGAGTGGTCCCCACAGGGGTGGGGGGCGGGCTGCTCCTGGAGCAGGGACCCCAGGGGTTTTATTTAGAGTTTCTCTCGGGGTGGTGGGCAAGGCGGCAGTCGAGCCAGGTCAGGCCGCCCCAGGGGGCCTGGGTGAGGGGAAGGGGAGAAACGCTGTGTCTCCAGGCAGCTCCGACAAGACACTCCGTGGGGGCCGAGGAAGTCGGGGCAGACACCCTGCACTCAGGACCAGACGAGGGGGCCGCAGCCACCCCGCCGCCAGAACCGCACGCGCCACAAGCCAGGGGGCTCAGGACAGCCACATGGAGACTGCCCTGGCTGGGACCAGAAGGTGGGCCGGGGACAGGCCCTGGGGGGTCAGGGTCTGAGATAAGCAGAGGGAGAGGCCGACGCACGGGCGCAGACCGCAGGGGTCCCACCCCCGGGAGGGGGACCTCTCACCAGGACCTGCGTCCCCACGAAGGGAATCTACCCCGGGCTCTAGGATGTCGCTACGTGGTCTGAGGACACGGTGGGCCGGGGTGCCCGCTGCCCACGGACAGGAAGCCGCGGCCTGGCACAAAGCAGCGGCAGCACTTGGGGCCTCGGCCGCCACCGCACGCAGCTCGCACGGGAGGCTCTGGGCAGGAGGCTGCCACACGGAGCGGGTGGGAGGCCGGGCGAGGCCTGGACCTCGAAACCTCTCCTGGGGAGTCCCAGCCAGGCCCCCCGGTCTCTATGCGACTTCTCCACCAAAGGAGGCACATTTTGAAGATGTGAAACGGAGACTCACCAGCCTCAACTCAACCACGTGACCGCAAGGGCTGAGGGGGAGAGTGGGGAAGCATGAGGGAGAGATGGAGACAGAGACAGAGAGACAGAGAGAGACAGAGAGACAGAGACAGAGAGACAAACAGAGAGACAGAGACAGAAAGAGACAGAGACAAAGAGAGACAGAGAGACAAAGAGAGAAACAGAGACAGAGACAGAAAGACAGAGACAGAAAAGACAGAGACAGAGAGAGACAGAGGGTCAAACAGAGAGAGACAGACAGAGACAGAGAGACAGAGACAGAGACAGAAAGAGACAGAGACAAACAGAGACAGAGACAGAGAGACAGACAAAGACAGAGAGACAGACACAGACAGAAAGAGACAGAGACAGAAAGAGACAGAGAGACAGAGACAGAGAGACAAACAGAGATAGAGATGGAAAGAGATAGAGAGAGACAGAGACAGAAAGACAGAGACAGAGACAAAGAGACAGAGACAGAGAGACAGAGACAGAAAGAGACAGAGACAGAGACAGAGAGAGACAGAGACAGAGACAGACAGATATGCAAAGACAGAGATATAAACAGAACCAGATAAAGACACATAGAGACAGAGATACAGAGACAGATACACAGAGACGGAGAGACAGAGACTGAGAAATAGAGACAGAGAGATACAGACAGAGACATATGGGCCAGGCACCGTGGCTCACGCCTGTAATCCAGCGCTTTGGGAGGCCGAGGTGGCTGGATCACTTAAGCCCAGGAGTTCGAGACCAGCCTGGCCAACATGGTGAAACCCCGTCTCAACTAAAAATACAAAAATTAGCCAGGTGTGGTGGCGGACGCCTGTAGTCCCAGCTACTCAGGAGGCTGAGGCAGGAGAATCGCTTGGGCCCAGGAGGTCGAGGCTGCAGTGAGCTATGACTGCGCCACTGCACTCCAGCCTGGGCGACAGAGCAAGATCCTGTCTCAAAAAAAAAAAAGAGAGAGACACAGACCACCGAGAGACAGGCGGGGCCATGAGACACGGACCCTGGCCAGAATGCTGGGGGCACAGGTGAGTCAAAAGAAGCCAGAGAACCCCAGAGCAGTTTCCGAGCCCCGGGGCCCACCGAGGGCCAAGGCTGTGGAAGGGGCCAGGCCCCTCCCCCCTCCCCAGGGGGGTCAGACGGATGGGACACTTTCACACACAGCTCTCCAAAACTTTCTGCCCCTAAAATTTCATCAGCTGGCCATCGACCTGCTCCTCCGAAATGGAGCCAACATCAGGGAAAGGAAGCTGGGGGCCTGGCGGACCGGGCCTGGCCTTCGGGGGAGGCAAGGGTGGGATTCCCTCCATACTGGGGGGGCCCCCAAAGGCCGCAAGGAAGGGAAATCGGGGTGGATCTCACTCTCTGCCAGTAGGAGGTACACAGTTAGCATGTTTCAATCGGGGAATACCAGCATCCCTATTTGCCGTTTGGGACTACTGAGGTAAACCCCAAAGCGAAGCACAGAAGCAGCCGCATCCACCATGGAGGGACCTGGGGGAGGCACAGTGGGTGCAGAGCCGGCTGTGTTCTCACCTTACACAAGCATGACTCCGAAAAAAAACAAATAAAAATCTCAATCCAATCCTGAAGATAAGAAGGCTGTTGCCCACCGAAGCCGTAGGGCCCAGCAGTCACAGCTCAGGACGCCCCGGGCCCACGCTGACCCCATGGCGGGGCCGAAACCACACCTGTGGCTCCGTGCGCTCAGTGAGCCCAGGTCATCCTGGTCCACAGCCTGGGCCCCAGGCACACTCAGCTCTCAACCCCCACCCAAGCCCTGCTTGGGAAGACAGCGTCCGGGTCTCATGCAGTTAATAAAATAATTTCAGATCAGCTGCGTGTGGCTTGGGCACCAGGTGGAGCTGCCCACACCTTCCCCACGGGGCTGAGCCACTCGGCAGGCAAGTATTGGGCTGGGCTGGGGCCCGGTTTCAGCCTCCCAGGAGACCACACACCCTGCCTTGCACACCACCAGCCTGAGGGTGCCTGTGGCCGCAGGTTGGGGGGAGCCCGGGAGCCAGGTCTGTTCAGACCTGATCGAAGTGGGGCCTGCAGAGCCGCCTAGTCTCCAAAAGCACAGAGCGTCGGGGACCCCACGTCCACCCCACTTGGGCCAGGAACCCTCTTGGCAGGTGACTTGCTCCAAGAGGAGCCCGGCCATAGTGCGGGCACAGGGGCTAAGAGGGCGGGCTGGGGTCCCGGCAGCAGGAAGGCCGGGGACGGGGTGGCCGGGAGACCTCCTAGACGGACAGGCTGGAGGCCAAGCTGCCCTTCTTCAAATTCTCTCACCTCTCACCCCAAGGGGTAGGGCTGGGGAAAGAGGCCAGGGACAGCAGCAAGGCCAGGACGTGGCAGCCAGCCATGGGCACCGAGGGCAAAGCCTCCTACCCACCAGCCCCACAGCCACCAGGTCACAGGATCAGCCCTTGAACCAGGGTTGCCCAGGACAGATCTCCTAGGGACGCCTCTTCTCTCCCTTCCCCCAACAATCGGGACAAGGAGCAGGTGGGGGGGTCACTCAGGAGGAAGAAGATCCCACCACCGCTGAGCTCAGCGCCCCCCACCCTGGGCCCAGCCCTCCCCACCCCAACCCCCGCCTCGGCCGCGACCAGGTGCTGTCACGACCACAGGCGGCCAGCAGGTGGCCCCAAAGAGACGTATGCAGCCGGCTCAGCCCAGGAGCCTGGTCCAGCAACGGGACAGGGGTGCGTCCTCAGCCAGCGGGCCGGCGGGACGGCCAGGAGGGGAAAAGCCACAAGGCCCACCACTCACCAGGCCCCACCAGAGTGCGTCCGCGTAGGTGTCAAAGTGGTCGTTCTCCCCCTTCTCCGCCAAGTACACCAGGAATGAGGCCAGGATGAGGCAGAGGAAGCCGATGTACCAGGCGGTGACCAGCTCCTGCCAGGCAGAGGGCATCGCCGTCACCACCAGCCGCCCGCCTCCGGAGCACTGCAGCCTCGCCCCAGCCTGCCCTGGGCTTCGTCTCCAGGGATGTGGGGGCTGAACCCCTCTCCTGAGGCCAGCAGAGGCTCTGCACAGGGTCGGGGAACCCGGAGCGGCGGCCGGCTTCACTCTCGTAGCTGCACCAGCCCCTGCCCGTGCCTCCAGCGGCTCGCACGGCCAGCCCGCCGTGTCCTCCAGGGTCAGCAGCGTCTATGCCGGCGGCCGGCGGGGCTGGAGAATCTCAGGACTGTGGAGACCCTCCCCCAGCCTCCCTGAGCCTCAGGGCGCAGATGTGAAAGGGTGCCCACTCCAGCCAGCACCCAACCCCACAGCATCCAGGGAGGGAGGGGCCCCCGGGGGCTGACCCCTGCCTGTTCTGCAGACAAAGCCACTCCCCGTCCAGGGCGCAGGAGGGAAGAAAATGGGGAGGGGCCGTTTGAGCAAATAAGCCCACCCATGCATAGAGTGGACGGATAGCACAGTCTGGCAGGATGGGGTCTCGGTCACTGGGGGGCTCCCGGCCAACCTCCGCCGTAAGCTGCCGCTTGAGCCACCACCAGGCACGTGAGGAGCCCAGCGTATTGATCCTGGCACTAAAACCCAGGAAGAAGACGCCCAACCACAGAACCCAAGGTTCTCAGCAGGAAAGTGGGGGGGGGGGTGCAGGGGCCGAAGTGGCCTGGCCTGGCCTTTTGAAGAAACAGCTTTCTGGAGACAGACGACAAAGATGGGCCAAGCACTGGGAAGAGGTACCAAGAAGAGCGGCGGGGGAGCGGCTTCCCCACCCGAAGGCTCGCTGGCCTGGCCGCAGACCCACCGCTGACCTTCCCTCCACCCAGGGCTCTCGGAGCACACCCCGGGCAGAGGGGAGCCCGCTGCACGCCAGGACCCTCGCCGGCTCGGACACCCACCCAGCCTGGGTGCCGCAGCTCACCTTGCTGTGGGCGTAGACCACCGAGCCCAGCAGCTTCCAGGTGCCACCCCGCCGGTCCATGCGGATCATCCGCAGAATCTGCAGGAAGCGCAGGCTCCGGAGCGCGGACGTGGCGAAGACGTTGCCCTGGGAGCCGGCGGCCAGCACCGCGATGGAGGCGATGAGCACCATGATGTCTGCGAGGCGGGCGTGGAGCTGGTGAGGGGGGCTGCCCTGTGCATCCCCTGGGGGAAGCCCCAGCCCCGGGTTCCAGGAGGCTGTGCAGAGGGCCGGGAAGGTGCGTGCCAAGCGCCCGGCGTGGGCTCTGTCCGGCCTCAGGAAGGCCATTACGACCGTCCAACCTGCCTGTGGGGCCCAGGACAGGCAACCTGGCGCCACGTCCCTCTTCCTGAGACTCAGGCGCAGTTAACCACAGGCTCCGACTCCAAGTCAGCAGGCGAGAGGAAACTTCCAGAAGGAGCCCACGCAGACGCCCCAGCTCCCCCCAGGGCTGAGTCCGTGCCTGGGTCCCCGGCCCCGACACCCGCACCAGGCCTCACCAATCACGCAGAACGGCTTCCGGGCGAACTTGAGCCTCCCCCTCCAGCCGCGGTAACGGCAGCAGCAGCCCGCGGCCCAGATCCGCACGAAGTACTCCACGCCGAACACCACGATGGTCACGATTTCCTGCAGGGGAGGCGAGCTGAGGCCACGCGAGGCCTGGGGGAGGGCCTGGGGGCCCTGCCTGGGCACCCACAGGGGCTGTTCTGGCCCAGAGACCATGGGAAACTGCAAGCTTGGCCCGATGCCTCTCTAGCCTCTGGGCAGGACGGGTTGGGCCCTCTGGGGTCCCTGAATCCAGGAACACCATGGGGTCACCCTCCCCCCATCCCTGTCTGAGCTGGGGGCTCTATCTGAGCTGTGGGAGGCCTGTCTGAGCTGGGGGAACCTGTCTGAGCTGGGGGTGTACAGCAGGGCCGTGAAGGACCCAGGTAACTACAAGGGGGGCATAGCCTCCACCCAGACCTTGGACAGTCCCAGGACAGAGGGACAGCGCGGGCAGTAGAGGGAGGTGCCTTCGGGTGGGGACCAGTCTCTCTGAGAGCCCCCCCACCCCGTTACCAACAGCAACACAGGAATTGTACTCCCTCCCGTTGTCATGGCACCCACCCTGCCCTGGCACAGCGTTGCTGCCAGCGTCACCACCCCCACCCCAACACCCACGCCTGCCGTCTGCTGGGGACGCCCCACGGCTTTGGCTCCGGAGATAATGGGAGGGTAGGAAAAGGGGGGTGGGCCCACGCGGGGTGGGGGGATGGAGGCGGGGCTGTCAGCTGCTGTGACGTCACCAGGAGGGGTGAGGCGCAGCCTGAGCTACTCACAGCGAGGGTGGGGCTGTGGGGCTGGGGGCCGGTGGGGCTGACAGAGCACCACGTCACAGCCGGCGCTGGGGCTGCGGGAGCTGGTTCGGGGCTAGAGGGCGAAGGGCAGGGGAGAGGGGTTGTGCAGTGGGGGTCGGGGAGGCCTTTACGGGAGGCCGGGGTTGGGGGCATCAGAGGCTCTGTAGTAACAGGAACGGGGGACAGACACCCAGGCAGCGCCAGCTCCTTCCCGGCCCCTCCAGCCCCCACCGCCCCCGCGCGGGGCTCACCAGGATGTAGAGGGCCCCCTCCGAGCTCTTCTCATACTCCTTGATGGTGGAAAACACAGACAGCACGAGGCAGGAGAAGACCAGGAGGAACCTGGGGGCAGGGAACGCGCGCTCAGCCGGGCCTCGGGGGCACCAGTGTGGCTGCATCTCCAGAACGCAGGACCCCACTCCCCACCCACCCCACCAGAGCCCAAACCGGCCAGAGGGCACCCCTCAGCCGCCTCCTGGGGCCCCAGAACTCCACGGTGGCACGGTGCGCAGCTGCCCACCCACCCCAGAACGTGCCTCCCCCCATGCCGGCCCCGCCCCATGTCTGGGTCCAGCCTGGCAGCTTCAGCCTTCGGGAAAGTCTCCAAAATTCTCCGAGCCAAATGGGAACAGCCAGCCCTGCCCATCAACTGCTGCAGAAGCAGAAAAAGCAACACCCCCGGGGCAGAAGGCTCCGGACCAACCCTCCCCTCTCCTCACACTCGCCAACTATCTCCTCTCCAGACCCAGACGCAGAGAGCTCCCCTCTGCCAATCAAATCCAGAGCCAAGCAACAAGAGCTCCTCGGGTCGTCTTCTTTCCGGCCTCTCCCTGGCTGCCAGGAGGCTCAGTTTCTCCTGGTCACAGGCACCTCCTCCTGCCAGTGATCCCCACGGTGACTGCTCTTCCCATCCTCTTCCCACAGGACCACCTGACGCTCACTAGCCCTTTCCAACCTCCCCTCAGATGATCAAGTTCACAACCACACCTAAATTCTCCCAAATTTATGAAGTTGTTTTTTCCAGACAGAGTTTCGCTCTGTCACCAGGCTGGAGTGCCGCGGCACAATCTCGGCTCACCGCAACCTCCACCTCCCGGGTTCAGGCGATTCTCCTGCCTCAGCCTTCTGAGTAGCTGGGATTACAGGCTCGCGCCGCCACACCCGGCTAATTCTTGTATTTTTTAATGGAGACAGGGTTTCACCATATTAGCCAGGCTAGTCTCGAACTTCTGGACTCAGGTGATCCTCCTGCCTCGGCCCAGCAAAGCGCTGGGATTACAGGTGTGAGCCACCGCGCCCGGCCCAAATGCGTGACTTTTTCTTGGCCCTGCGTCCTCCTCTGATACAAGCGGCTCTGATTCACTTGCTCCCTTGCCCACCCAGAAAGCTGCAGACGGGAGGTGCCTGCCCGGCTGTGGCTGCAGCAAGGCCACCCACATAGAAGAGTCAGAAAATCTCCCAGCTCTTCCTGGGAGCAAAGCTGAGCGTCCCGGAGCCTCAAGCTGCCGCTTTGGCAGGAAAGCAACCCCCGCCACTGAAGTCACGGAAAGCACACGAGAGAGAAACCCACTTCTCAGGAAGCAAATGCTTCATCCCCTTTCCATTTCTCACACATGTCCTGGGACGTGCAGGGGGCGTGTCCAACGTCCGGGTCCTCGGTCACAGCCATAATGGAGGCCACTCGTGGAATAAGCCCTCGTTCCCGGCAATGGGCGAGAAGTGTCGCCTTTCCCCTGACAACAGTGCTGCCTCTCGTTCCAACCATGCTCAGACCAGGAGCCACAGAGCAGCCACCGCCCCGTGTCCATGCCCCTTGCTGTCTCCACACTCACCATCACCTCCCACACCCGGTGGCACGGCCGCCACAGAACCTGAGGGCACTGCTGTGTCTCCAGCCCGGCCCCGCCCCGAAGACTCAAACCTGAGCCCTTCCTCCGCCCCACGTCCAGGGTTCTGCTGGGGGAGGGAGGTTCCCCACACACAGAATCCCTTCCCTCCCATCCCCGAAGCTGCGCCACAGCCCTGCCTGGGTTCCAGGGCACTGCCCCACTCCCCTCTCCCCACTCCCACAGAGGAAATACTCCCTGGATGGCCTGCAGGGCCAGGAGGCTGGCCACCGGAACCCTGGGGGCTCTCTTCAGCCTAGGCACACCCCTCAGCGCTGGAGCTTCGAGCACCACAGCTCCCGTCCAGACCCACCCTCCCATCACAGCTTCGCCATTCCCTTTCCAGTCTGGGGGCACGGGGGTGCTCATGGGATTGAGGCCTGGCCGACCACTGCCAGCGAGTGGTGGCCCCAGAACCTCTGCTGCAACTACCAGGAAAACGGCACCCCCTTCCCACCGAGGCCACCAACTAGGAGGAAGGAGGCCTGGGGCACTGGCAGGAGGACGGGTGGGCACAGGAAAACCTGCCTGAAAATGAGGTCACCACGAGGAAGCCAGCACTGAGG